ATCTGAAACAGTGACATGAACCTAAAGGCCTCTTAAAATGTATATAGTCTAACTAAAAAGTAAAGATACATTTGTGTGCACAAATCATTAAGTACATACATGTAAATTCTGACTTCCGACTCCTTGAAGTATCCTGAGGGATGAGCATACTCCAATTTAACAACCACCATCCTGAGATGAAATTGGGAATAGGACGTGATAAGAATCCAAATTCGAACAAGTTTCACAATAGATTATATTCAAATGCAATACTTAAACTTTTAATTGATGCCATTTTAATATATGGAAATGTGTGTATAAATCACATGTCCTTCAAGTACCCCAAAGGGCACATGTACCCCCATTTGAGAACCATCTGGTCCAAAGCAGAAGTGTTTTAACTATTTACCATATATGGTAAAGTAAAAGGAACCAAAAAACAAACAAACAAACAAAACACAAGAACCCAAACCAGACCTTGTATTGTGATGAATTAAATCCAGGCATAATAGACGAGTCAGTCAGTTTCAAAAATGTATATTAATAATAATAAGTAATATATTCTTTTATGAATCATCTAACCCATGACCTGGCTTGTAGAACCCAGAGCGGCGTGCACACCGCCATTTGAGAACCATTGATTCAAAGCAACAGTGTTCCAGCAATTTATCAAATCGGAATTGGTCAAAACCCGAATCGGAACTGGTGACGTAATTAACTAAATTCCAACTCATGTTCTTCATTAGGTTCTCTGAGGTTCCTCTTCGTCTGTGTTGTCCTGACACCGGAGTTGTTCCGTGGACTGTGTTAATGCAGTTCCCCTTCTCATATGTGAAGCCACCCTGCCTTCATCCCAGCTCATGTTCGCGCAGAATGAGCGCTGAGCAGCGGCAGCCACACGCGCAATTAAGCAAATGTTGTGGTGATCCAACATTTCTCCAACGGGTCGAAGCTTTTCACACAGATATTAGATCAGGTTATTTTATTGGATGTAATTTGGAGCAGAAATCAAAGCCAATTACGAGAATGAGGAGGAATGAACTTGTGGATGTGAGAGGATGGAAGGGAGTGGGTGAGGGGGAGGGAGGGGGAGGGATGGAGGTGGAGGGCGCCGGGGTCTCTGTGTGCTGCGACTGACACATACCTCAGGCTTCAGCTCTGATTGGTCCTCGTTTGGGTGAAGCTCACGGGTTCATCCCGTCCTTAAGCGCCTCCCCGTTCCTCTAAACTACATTATAATGCAACCAGCCTCCCTTTTAACCACAAACTGAATTTGCTTTCATTTAGGCCATATATATTTCTTAAATAGGTTAAAGTCATAGAGATTTTTAGTGGGAATAGCATTTCGCCCTGGAGCGGTGCGCAATGCTATCTCATGCCGACCTCCTGGATGCTCGCCTCGGTGAGTTATCATCACCAAACTCCGGTCTTCAACTCTACTGTAAGCTGGAGACACTTCTAATCTTCCAACAAAAATTACGCTCAGAAAATTGTTCAATTTGCTCTTTATATCGTCTTAATGCGGCTGATGTGAACTAAACTGCTTTAATTCATTGGAAAAGTAATTATTATTATTATATTACTGCATAATTTGATTTAACAATTTTCTGAGATATCAGTGTGATCGAATTGAATTAAGACTATTTAAGGAGCAGGCTGTAATGTGTGCATGCTGTGCTGGTCTCTCTGTCAATGAGAGCTGCAGTCTCTGTTTTGGAATTTTTTGCATGCAGAAGCGTTAATGCATGTGCAGATTTTGAGTTGCACAACTATTTTCCTAAAATATACTTCCTGATAGTGTTGTGCATGTGTGTGGTTGAAGATGTCTAACCATGTTTGTTTTGCCTCCACAGTGAACTGTAGTGTCAGTGGTCAGAGCTGACCAGTTGTGCTTGTCTGTGTGTGCAGGGATGAAAGATGCCGCGGCGGAGCTCCTGGGTCACAGGGAGGCTCTGAAGTGCAGGCTGGGCGGAGGAGGACCAGACCCGGGACACTCCGCAGAGCTCGGCCCGGGTCCGGACGGCGTGGAAGGGGCCACGATGCTACCCGGTGATGATATCAGCAGCGGCGGAGGAACCAACCCGGTGCAGGTCAACAGTAAAGAGCAGGAGAAGCAGCAGCAACAGCAACAGCAGCAGCAGCAGAACAACAGCAGCAACAACCCAAACCAGTCTGGAGGACAACAATCCCAGAAACAGAAGCGACATCGAACCCGCTTCACCCCGGCGCAGCTCAACGAGCTGGAGCGAAGCTTCGCCAAAACGCACTATCCAGACATCTTCATGCGGGAGGAGCTGGCGCTGAGGATCGGCCTGACGGAGTCCAGAGTGCAGGTGAGTGGTGTTCTTCAAGCAGGCATTCACCTAAAATCATGTACAACTACATTTATATTCTCAGAACAGATCAGTTGCTAAAATTCTAAAGAACACACGTTCAAAATCAAAACAGCAACATTTAAATCAAAGAAATCAACGTTTATTTATTAACCTTATATAACTGAATATATTTAAAATATAGGACGTGAACTATGTTTGCATTTCATTCGAATGTTCCCTTCCCTAAATGAGCTGTCAGATAATTAATTTTTTTTAATGCTTTACGTTCAACGTTAAGTTAATATAGTGAAACATTATGTTTACAACGCGGTTTTGTTCGTGGGTTAACAATTGAAAATATTACACGAGTATTTCCTGTGTTATTGATGTATACACGGAGATAAATCTGTTGTTCAATCCAGCCAAACGTTTCTTCTCTAAACGGATATATTTATTTAAACAAAAATAAAACAAGAAACCCTGATCATTTACATAACTATTATCTTATATAATAATATATTATAAACGATTTCAATTTAAGTTATTCTTCGCACAAACATCGGTTTGTAATAATATTACATTAATCTTGGAGGAAAATTAAATAACCTAAGAATGTAAGGAACAGTGTGAAAACCGTGACAGCTCAGAGTACAAACAGTAAATGGTGCAATAATAATGACACACACAGGGCTTTTCAGCTCGCTGTGTGTGTGTGTGTGTGTGTGTGCTTACTAAAGATTATAGAAACTTGCCACTGTATATTTTTACTTTAATTATAGAATCACGTATAGAAATAAAAAAAATGGAATATAAGAGTTTTACGTTATGTTTCATTTTATTTCCCGTTACGTTAGCGCAATGTTGATCCATAGGAATTTCCCCAGTTCAATTGTGTTCTATTTAACTCAACCTTAAAACAACAACAACAACAACAACAACAAAAAAAACTATTCATCACATATTGAGCGTATATAAATGAAAAAAACAGAATGGAGAGCAAATGATTAGCATTAGCACATATTATGCGCCTTGGATTAAACTGTCACTGCCGTGTAGATCGCAGACAGTAAAATACTAGAACAACGTATGATCTGGTCTGGTTTCTATAATGTTTCACATCGTCCTCTACATTTTCTTGTTACTATATCTTCAGCAAAGAAATAACTGTACAAATATGTATTTCCGCGACTTCTTAAAACTGTAAAGTACAAAATGCGTTTTGTGAATTCGGAAAAGAAAAATAAAATTGACTTGACTTTACAAAATCATTCCCGCCATAAATTTAAACCGGATGTCAGTGAATGCAGCACCTTTCTCTGCTCCGTTGTGCTTAGAGAATCGTTATTTTTACACATTTATTTACACTTAAACTTATTACCAACATGTGAACCAAACCGGAAATAACGGCGGGTTTTGTAATGCGTCCTGCTGTCAGCGCTAGTCTACAAACACACTTCCTTTGTTATAATTTATAAAATATATATATGGTGTCATTAATAGACTCGATGTATTATTAATATTATTATAATAGGAGCTCATTCGGCTTCTGTGCAGTTCACATTAAAAAGGAAATTAGTGCAATGGTGCTTATCAACGGCAGTGAAGGAGATAAGGAGATAGGAGACAGGTTTGAGCCCACCTCTCCTTTCTCTTTCTCCACGTCTTAATGGCGAATACTGTGACTATCCATTCTTTAAAAAAAAAAAAAAAACGAAATGAGAAATTGCGTTTTGGTTCCTATTGAAGTGTAATTCGTTTCAGGGAGGATTTCACGGCTGGCTACGCGAGGTGCAGCAGGGAGAGAGAGTGAGACGGGGCCGCTCTTATTAGTGCCCCCCCACTTTCTCAAACAAATCTCCACATTAATCATAGACGAGCAGAGGTGTACGGCAGCCCAAGGACTACTGCGAATACACACCGTGTTTGCCAGCCAGGCCCATTTGTCACTGCGATAACATTATCTTTATTACGGTACACGGCCTGGCTGTACGATGGCCTCGCGCTAAACAACACGTAACATGTCCCGCGTGTGGACGGAGGCTTTCGCTGGCATCGCAAATACAGCTGTTATTAATCTTTGTTATTTTTTTTAAATAATTTCTCAGGCGCGTAAAATTGAAGAAGGTATTAAAAAAAGGGGATATAACAAGAACCTAATATTCTATACATTCACAAGGCAATATGCTGTCAGTCATGTTTGCGTTGATTCATTATAGCCAATAGCAAAGCAATGACCATTTGTATTTGTTGCCCGAATCTTTTATGGATAAAACGATCATTACTGTAAAAAATAATCGTCACTATTATTATTATTATAGAAGCTCATCGAGGACACTTTTTTCATTAATATTTTGTTTTATATTTAGCTAATTTTCCGACGGACGTCCCGAAACCATCCAGTATATTCAAGTCAGAAAAGATATACTCATTAGAAATAACAATAATAATAATAATAATAATAATTTAGAAAAAGTATTCCTTTATATATTTTTCTAGTCCTCGAGTCAGACATGGATAGGGCAGATTTGATTAATAAAAATGTACTGTACTTGTACTGTATTTGAAAACAAAAGTACAGACTTGAAAGAAAGACCGATAATCCGTAGCCGAATG